TTTCAGGAATGAAAATATCCAGATAGTGTATTTTAATGAATTCAATCTCACTTTAAGTAGAAGCAAAAAACATTTTCACATCTTTATGGTTTATTACAATGAACAAAGTTATATTTAAAAGGTCTCTATTTTGTGTTAACCTTTTTAATTTGTTGTAAATTACAAATTTTCTTAAGCCCCAGACTCACAGAGTGTCATCAAGGGTTAGTGTAGTTTTGGGATTTATCTGTGATAATAATTAAGTCATCTACATAATAATAATCTATGATAACATAAGGGCCTGGGTCTTTGACCAACTGGCAGTATTGTAGGTGTGCAAACACTTGTACACCAAAGTGGTTAACCCTTGTGCTAATTCTACTGGACCAACAGCATCATATGCAACCATGGAGCCCGGCCTCTCATCACCACCACAACCTTATGAAATTCTAATTAGTGTCTAAAAATACAGCCTATTTCCTGATCAAACAAAAAGCAGGGCTGGACAGGAGGAGGAGGCTTACCGTGGCTGCTCTATTATCTAAACTCTACTCGTTTTAGGATTGAAAGGAGATCTCAATAGTATTCTGTTTTACTGTTCATTAATACCAGTTTTATAGTGTTACAGAGATATATGTCAACAGAAGTTTTTCAAAAAGACATTTTATTAGCTATACAAAAGCACTCACTGAATACAAAGCACTTGGTTTATTATGTTACAGTGAATAATGCATGGATGTATCCGCAGCAGATCTAGTCAGCTCATACAGCAGAATGACAGTCTTGTGTCGTCTGAGTAGAGATATCATTTATTTTCTTCTTTCCTAGTTAAACAGCCTGATTTCCCACATCAGTCTGGTCTCTCCCAAATAATGTACCGTACACTCAAATATGGGAACAGTTGTCAGGACAGTGGGAAGAACTTTGTCAATTAAGCAGCACAATTTTAACAAATTTTCAATGTGAGCAACATGTTAATGTTCAGATTTATGTCTCCAATCGTGACTTTTTAAAGTAAACTGACCATGAAAATCCACTAAACTGAAACAGAACAGTTCAGTTTCATCAAACAATCTAAATTTTAAAGAATTAATAGTTTGAGAACCTAACTCTAACAGCCATAATATGTTATCTTTGTGATTACCGAGCAACAAGGACACATTGTTAGTATGAAAATATAGCTGGTTACTTGTAAGTGTCCTTCATTGTATGAATTCTGTAATAACATCTATCAATAATACCGATTCTTCTACATTGATCCTGCGTTTCCACATCAGACGGCAACGACAGCCTTGCCGATGTTTTCTCCCTGCAGTATCCCCATGAAGGCAGCTGGCATTTTTTCAAAGCCCTTTGTGATGTGCTCCCGAAACTGCAGTTTGCCCTGCGGATGCAGAATAAACAAATCACAGAAACTGAAGCATCAACATGGGCAACCGGACTGAGTGAGAGTAAATCTTTACTGAAGACACACACATAAACACAATTCTGAATGAGATCCAGCCTCATAATGAATTCTTTTCAGTCACTAACCTCTTTCAACCACCCCATCAGCCTCTTGAGGGACTCAGGGTGCTTGTGCTCCCACCTGCTCTGCATGAAGCCCTCCATCTTAAGCTGCTTGAAGATCATGGTCAGGTGGGGGTATGGGCCTAAGAGAGAGAGAGAGAGAGATGATTAAAGAAATGAAAAAAACCTACAACAAACACAAGTAAGTGGTCCCGGGAAAGAAACTCTGTTGAGATAAAGCTCTGTTTATACAGCTTCTCCAGCATTTCACTAACACAATGTCGCCCTCTAGTGAAAAAGACATAGAATCATCTGAACGTGTAAAGCTTTTACTGCATTTCAATTTTGTTTCAATGTTTTGTTTGAACAAGCAGGTATCGAGTTAAAGCGGAAGAAAACAGCTGGACTATCGATATAGAAAATTAAAGTAGGGAAGTACACACCTGTTTGGGGTGTGGTGTCATTGTACGTGGAAATGGCTCCACACACGGCGATTCTCCCAAAGTTCTTCATGTGTTGCAAGGCAACACTTGAAGAAGGGCCTCCTACCTGAAATAAGAAGAAGCATTATTTTAACCAGTGGTTCTCAACCTGGGGTCCAGGGAGCCCCAGACGAAGTTGAGGGGGCTCCAAGGAGTCCCCAGAAAAGCTGAGAATATTTTAACTTCACTATTATTTCAATGTCTAATGAGAGAATGTATAAAACTGACTCTTCTGTTAACAGGTTTCACACTCTTCATTGAGACTATATGATCAAATTTGGGCTCACAGCCTGATGTGTATTAGTTTGGAGGTCCTTGACACCAAAATGATTGACAGCTACTGATTCAAACCACTGAAGATAATAGCAGTAATGGTGTTTAAAACATTTAGTCCACACTGTCAGAGTAAGCTGGAACACTTGATCACACACATTTGTCAAACAGCAGTAAGGAACTCCAGAATGCAATAGAAGAAATAAGTGAAAAATTTATAAAAAGAGCACAAACAGGAACGCTTTATGGGCTTGGAACTACACCACCATTGCTTACATTCTCAAAGAAGCAGTCATATCCCTCTGGAGAAGCCTTCTTCAGTGCCTCATCCAGGGAACCCACAGTCTTGTAGTTGAAGGCCTCGTCGAAGCCCAGTTCTTTGAGGAAAGCCACCTTGGCATCAGACCCTGCTGAACCCACCACCTTACAGCCCTTGAGCTTGGCAATCTGGCCCACCACGGAGCCCACCGCCCCCGCTGCCGCATTCACCAACAGGGTCTCGCCCTTCTGGAGTCCCAGGACTTCCTCTATCCCGTACAGAGCCGTCAGTCTGGAGGGGACAAGAAAGAGTCAAATCAAAACCATCAAAAACCTGAAAAACTTGTGTTTTCCCTCCAGTTCCACAGAGGAGCCTCACTGACCTTCGTAATGTAAACTCTTTTCGTAATTGCTTCCATAGCAAGGTTATCACGAGCAGGACAAAACATCTGGAGCCTTGCACGTTTATTTTCTCAAAGACAGACAAAACCCAGCTGCTCTACGAAGCTAAACAACTCTCTCTCTCTCTTCTACCGGCCACAAACGTAAGCAGGGAAATTAACTGTCTTATCTAACATTTACAAAGGGAAGGTTAGATATTCTTGTTCTGAACAACAGTTCTCACATGGGAGTAGCCCGCTGCTATTTACACTTGTAGTTGACTTCCTTCTTTCTTTAATAAAAAGGTCCAGTGTGACATTTAGGAGGCTGTATGGGCAGGAATGGAATCCAATATTCATGGGTATGTTTTCATTAGTGTATAATCACCTTAGAATGAGTCGGTTTTATCTACAGATGTGGCGGGTTGCCTTCCATGGCCACGTTAAACTGTTTCTACAGTAGCCCAGA